TGACTCTGACTCTTCTCAACATCCTTCACTTCTGTTTATTCCAGATTAGTCTTGGTCTGCCACTTGGAGCCTACACTTGAACTGTGCCTGTGGTCTAATATATTCTCTCTATATTTCTCACAGTGGAGACTGAAAGCTGAAATCTCTGAGATAGCTTTCTGTATCCTTCCTCTAAACCATGACGGTGAACAATCTTTGTTTTCAGCTCCAAATTTCAGTTCCAATAATTAGTTCTAAAGGTTTTGAAATCAATAAAATGAAAACGGTGCCCAAATTTATGCACCTGCCTAATTTTGTTTAACCAATTATTGCAAACTTTCTGTAAATCATATAAACTTCATTTCACTTCTAAAATGTCACTGTGTTTGTCCCATATATGATATATTTCACTGATATTTTTAATAGGGGTGTCCCGATCCGATATTGATATCAGATATCGGTCCGATATCAGCCAAAAAATGAGTTTCGGATTTTATTGGCCTGCATAAAAAATGTCAGATTTAAGCGCTCAGATATTAGCAGTCCGTTCCAGCAGTTCACTGACTCCGCTCCAGTGTTTCTATCCAGCAGCGCTTGGATCCAGCATGCAGAGCTCACATGATCACAACAACAAGCTGCGCTAACAAGTTAGCAAGAATGTCGGCAGCAGAACTTTCTATTTTCATCAAAAACAGAGTTGCAGCTAAGTGCAAAGTTGTCATGCACAAGTTTTCCAAGGGGGAACACAGAAGCGTGTACGTTTTAAACCGGAGCGACAACTACTCTCCACCCTGGCAGCAGCTTTGCGGTTTGGCTCGGTTCAGCCTCGGTCCAAAAGTGTCTCCATGATTCCCACCGAGCAGAACCTCCTCTCAATCCGGTGGTTCTAGCGGGCAGAAGCAAGGACAGCACGCTTTTTATGGTTTTGAGATCAGCAGAATGTTGGCATGCATTATCTCTTGATGGACAGAAGAAAGGAAGAGTGCAGATTTTGTTTTGGAATACGAGCGTGACATGACGAGAGCAGCAATAAAAACTGCTCCCTGCAGGAAAGAAAAGCTAATCTCCACATGATGCTCAGACTGTAGAAGGTATTAATAATTAACTGACTGATTCTTACTATTTATTTTTGCTCGTTTGTAGAGTGATGTTTAATCTATTTACACACTTGTTTTAGTGAAGATTAAGTGCAATGAATTTAYTCATTCATCCCTGAGAAATGTGAAATGCTGCTAAGTTGCATACAGGTCCTACATTTGACACACTGATTGTACTGTTGTGCTGCTATTGTGCCACACCATCTACTGTNTTTTTTTTTTTTTTTAAATAATTTACTGTCAGTTACACTCCCACCAATCAGGCATGACCAGACCACTGAATCATGCATGATTCCAAAAAAAAATAAAAATATCCCCTCTAATCTGTGTGGATTATTTAAGGCATGCCCATTTGTGTACATTCATTTTACAAATCACTTTCCAACAACACAAATTTTTGCACTGGTCTTTAAATCACTGAACTCTCAGATGATATCCTTCTCCTGATCTCTGTTCTCAACTTTACTCTTTGAACCAAGCCATCACCATCAACCACCGTTTCCACAACACGACCTAACTGCCACTTATTTCTTGGGAGAAGATCCTCCTTTACAAGAACAACATCATTAACTTTAAGATTGCGCCGAATTATGTGCCAGTTTTGTCGAATGGAAATATTCTGGAGGTATTCCCTCTTCCACAGACTCCAAACTGTTCAAGTAAAAACTGCACACGACGCCACCACTTTGAGGAGTAAGTATCCTCCTTTACAAAGTCTCCTGAAGGAGGTAAGGCGGTATCAGACTTAATTTGAATCAAGTGGTTAGAGGTTAAAGGCTCAAGAGAACCTGAGTAATTTATTCCTTTAATATTAAAGGACGACTATTGATAATGGCCATGGCTTTACAAAAAGGGGACTTCCATCTCTCCCACCATACATGCATGGTGCCAGGAAGTGGGTCATCCCATCCAATACTCCTGTGGCCCAGAGTCTGCCAACTACATTTCCCATTCAGAATGAATGTTGACAGAAATCCCAGCGGATCATACCAAGAGGCTATAGCTGACAAAATACAGAGTGCAACAGGTTTATCACTTTGATCTGTGTGACACAGTCTCTTTCATCATGCCTTTGCATACCCATTTTATGTTCAGTGGGTGCCACGTCAGGCTTAAGATCCACAGAAACCACATTAGTGTTTCTCTCAGATGGGTCCACACAGTTAAGAACTCCACACTTGTCAGAATTAAATTTGTGAAGTCTCAAACCACCTTCTTTACACAGTTTCTGTGCTTCAGTTATTAATGTGGTGGCATCTTTGATTGTATAAACACTGATTAACCCATCATCAACATAGAAGTTATTCTCCACAAATGCTGATGTAACTGGAAACCTTAACCTGTGTTGTTGTGCCAGATATTTCAAAGCAAAATTAGCACAACCTGGAGAGGAGGCTGCACCAAAGTGGTAAACCTTCATTTGATATTCTTTAGGCTCACTCTCCAGGTCTCCTTGCTCCCACCATAAGAACCTCGGGTAACAATGATGCTTTGGTGCAACATGAAACTGGTGGAACATCCTTTTAATGTCACAAATAGCAACCGTTTCCTTTCTAAAACGCAGAAGGATTCCAACCAAAGAGTTAATCAAGTCTGGACCTGCTAGAGTATCATTTAAAGAGATACCACAAAATTGAGCTGAGCAATCAAACACTACTCTTAACTTATCTGGCCTATTTAACTTTCTCCTTAAATGCTGTAAACCAACAGTAGCCAGTTTTTTATTATTCGGCAGCTCTGGAAGGCATGATGCTTTAAATGGGAGGGGCATCTCTAAATGTCCATCATCCTTTTAATATTTTCACTTAAAAGTTGTATGAAATGGACGTCATCTTGGGAAACACATTTTCCTTCTAGACTTCTTTCATTGAAATCCAACTCCAAAACTTTCAAAACATCAGAAGTTAATGGAGCTGGCATTTCTTTCACTGTTACTCTGTGAACTAATCTTTGACTACTTTGCCGATCCAGATGAGGATTGGCTGCCCCTATAATACTCCAGCCAAGAGTAGTTTTCTGTGCGAAGTGTTCATTTTCCCCACCAACAACTTCCAGTGGTGCTAAAGCAGAAGGACAATCATAACCAATCAGCAAACCGACCTCACAGTCTTGTAAAGCAGGCATTTTACCAGTCAGATGTTTAAGGTGAGGCCACTGTAATGCCGTAGTTTTACTTGGTATATAAGATGGATCAACAGGAAGGAAATCACGTGTGTATGCTTGCCTTAACTGTACATAATTATCGGAGAAAAAACTCCTAGCCTTTAAATCATATACACTTTGGTTGGAAACAGGTGTATCAACAGAAACCATAGTGCTAAGCTTTAGCTGTACAGGTTTGCTAACAACAGTCAAACTTTTCACAAGATCTTCCAAGACAAATGAGGAGTCACTCTGTGTATCAAGAAGAGCATAAGTAAGGACTTCCTTTCCAGGATCCTTCACAGAGGACAGAAAGACTGGAACAATACTTGAAGTTGCAGAAATATTACGAGTGAGTGCATGAGACAAAACTCTGTGAGAAACCTGAGGTGATTCTTCACCTGCAGAGGTGGAAGTCTGCTGAGAAACATTAGCTCTTTCCTTTTCCTCGTGTAAACAAGTTGGGTGACGCAACCTACACACTCCACATATGTGCCGTGTTTTACAATCTTTCAGTACATGTCCCTTTCTTAAGCATCCAAAACAAAGATGGTTCAGGAAAATAAAG